TAAAGGTTACCTACTCAGCTACGAAGTAAACCCTAAACCCCAAACCCTAAAGCCTAAACCCTAAACCCTAAACCCTAAACCCTAAACCCCTAAACCCTAAACCCCTAAACCCCCGAACCCTAAACCCTAAAACCCCAAACCCTAAACCCTAAACCCTAAACCCTAAACCCTAAACCCTAAATCCCAAGTCCTAAACCCCAAACCCTAAACCCTAAACCCCAAACCCTAAACCCTAAATCCTAAACCCTAAACCCTAAAGGGCCCCTGGTTGGGCATGCAGTGTTTTGGGAGTGGACTAAGGCGCTGCAGCTCCGAAACCGGAGGTCGGCCCTCAACCGGTTTAGGGGTTTCTTTAGGGTTTAGGGTTTAGGGTTTAGGGTTTAGGGGTTTAGGGTTTCGGGTTTAGGGTTTAGGGTTCAGGGTCTAGGGTTTAGGGTTCAGGGTCTAGGCTTTAGGGTTCAGGGTTTAGGGGTTTAGGGGTCTGCCAGGACCCCCAAGGAAACCCTCAGCACGGGCCGCCGTGATGATCAGTGGCAGGTATTTAAAATTAGAGTCTCGTGAAGGCTTCAATCCCCTTGCTGCTTTGAGGGGCTTTCGAGAACGAACAGCAAGCTCCCCAATGGCAAGAATTGCCTGGTGCGCCTGCGAGTCCAACATTTTTTCTGGGGTCCACCAGTTTCTTATGGCATACTTGCGAACTACAACAAGGAATTACAAATCCGGGATTGGAGCTTCAAGAACTCACCTAACACACGGAGCCGCATCACCACAGCCTCGTCACAAGGGTTCCAGATGCATCCCATGATCTGAACGAGCAGTCTGCACCACCACATTGGCACAAACCATACAAGGAACAAAACCACAAGCGCCTTTCACGTCCCAGGCGAACTTCATCTGGGTGGCAAGCCTTGTCCGACAGGATGCACATTGCAATCCAATCATCGTCCAGCTGCGCCCTAGCGCAGTCTGCAGTGACTCCCTGGTCACCTCCACGGCATACTTGGAGCCCACCACCACCCACCACCACCCAAAACCACACCCTGGCCCCCCAATCCCCTCTCTGGAACAGCCTCTCAGGGAAAGCACTAAGGCAAAGACACCAAACGGAGCAGGAGCCCCGGGCCGAATGTCGGCCTCACTGCCATCTTTGAAAGCGCTTAAGGCTCAGGGTTTGGGGTTTANNGGGTTTAGGGTTTAAGGTTTTGCATTGGGGTTTAGGGCTTGGAGGTGTTAAAGAACCTATACATTTCTGCGGTTCCCTAGTGTGGTTTCTATGTATAGTTCCCAAAACACGTAATTAGGTAGTTTAGCTACAGGTAAGGCTGAGGGTTAAGGTGTTTTAGGGTGTAAGCGGTGCAGGGTCTCGGGTTCAAGGCTCTCATAAATCGCCTATAGTATTCAGACTCTATGACATATCGGTAGTTCTCTAAATAAGGGTCCGCAACATAGGTCGGCACCCCTGTGAAAAGGACTCCAAAGGACTCAAGGGGACCCTAATTTAGAGAACTACCCACGTAGGGTTTAGGGTTCCAGATTGTTGGGCCTAAGTGATTAGGACCGGGCATGTGGCGAAAAGGATGGTATAAACCCTACCTTATAAGAACGAAATGAACCCCAAAAGGGTTTAAGGTTCAAATACCATGGTAGGGATTCACAAAATAAGGGTTGTAGGGCCCTTACTGTTAAGGGTCATGTGGTCTTTAAGGTATAGGCCATACACCCTCTTAGCCCTTAACCCTAGTGGATGAAGCGGTCCTGTGGTAAGAGATTGCATACCTTCTCGCCAACTATTTCTATCGACATCGCAATCGCACCACAAAGCCCTTCGGGCCTTCGGGATACCCTAAACCCTAAACCCCACAGAGCTAAACAACGCAATCCTTTGAGATACCAGGCTATCTAGTCAGCTTATCATGTTGCACTTCGGGCCTACAAGGATTCAAGGTTTAGGCCACACGAGCTAATAAAGGGTTCATAAATCTTGGGATTGGGTTTGAGGGTGTATTACGGTAGAAGCATAGTACGGAACTCAAAGAAGTAATCCTGGAAAATATTCAAGCTTCTATATTAACCCCCAAACCCAAATAATACTCTAAGACAACAACACAAACTAGTAGGTTATGTCGATCAGTTTAGGGTCTAACCTTTCAACCACTACTGCAGGTTCTTGGATCCACTGGCAACCCCCCGATGCCGCAAGACCAAACGCCAAGCCAGAAATCCTAGCTTGCCTCCTGCGGAGACTTCGGTGCAGATGCCGCGCAGCGCAGCGTCAAGAACTGCGCATAGAGCCTGCGCAGATGTAGCTGCCAATCTCAGCTTTGGAACATTGAGCTTAGGGCTGCGTTGGGGTTCGTATAAAAGATCTCTAGAATTCGAAACGGCTTCATGCGGCTTGAGATGGCTTCTGTGTGAGGGTTCTCTTTCAGGGCCCCGCAGGGTTGGATCTACCTGTGACCCCAAATAGTAGGGTATGATGCTTAATCAGAAGGCAGAACCCCCCCAAACCCCAAACCCTAA